TCCTCCTCCTCCTCCTACTCCTTCGAGCCTCGGAACGCTTGACGGTCCGCGCAGAATTCTTGGATCGGCGCTGGGGACCTCCCTCCCGGGCGTACGAAGCACGCCAGTCAGGGGCGACGCAGGGGGCGCTGGCCTTGCGGCGATCCACGAAATCCGAGTGTATCTGAACATTCTTTTTTGGGGGGGTGGGAGGTAAATCCTGGAGATCCAACGCATGAAAGAAATCAAGACGGACGTGTTTCGCAATGCTGGGCCCCTGGGAATGGGTCGAGACTTCTGGGGACAATGTATTGAAAAAATCACGACGTCGGATCTCTGGGATTGGGTCGCTCCGGTGATCTGCTGATCCGGCTGGCTGATCGAGCCGATTCAAATGTCCGGTGATCCGGCTTGCTGATCCAATGATCTGGCCAACTGATTTAATCATCCGCGTTGATCGGGCCGGTTCCCAGAGGCCGGCAGGATCTGAATTTAAGAGCGTCGAAAAAGAGCGCGCTCCATGTTAAGGGGGGGACTCAGATGGGGACGCAGCCGAGAAGCTTGCGCAATGTATGGGGCCGAACTTGAACGATCTGGTTGGCCATGATCTCTACACGTCGGGCGACTTGAAGCGCGGGATCGCGGTAACTGTCTGGTGATCTGGTGATCCGGTGACCCAATTAAACAAAAAACTCTAGTCCAAATGCATGCCTGAATCCGCGTAGACTTTCTAAAGCTTTTGTATCACTCCGCATGGGAGCCGTGGTCTGGCGGCACTCAAACCTCTGGTCGGTGCGCAAGAGGGTAGCAAGAGCGGGCGTCGGCAAACTCCACAACGTGTTTTCTTCCCAAATGGCTGCACGCACCTCAGACGATCAGAACACGGAAAATACATGAACCTACGTTCTCGCTCTGTCTGGCTGGACGGCTTCCTGTCTCGAAGATGGCAGCTCACTCACCGTAGGCCCGGAAGATAAATTCATCACCGCCAAGGTCCATTTGATACTGCATGAACGCGCTCCACGCTTTTTCTATTCGTTTGCCATTTTCGTCAACGACCTGCACAGCCTCATAAGTGCTATTGCCCCAAGCCATAACTGATCCTCTTCTCCAAACGACAGAATCAGTGAACTCTGGATGGCTGTGTAAAAGCGTCATATCAAACAACTTTGAAAAAAAGAACAGGTTGTAACCAGGAAGCCAGCCGCCAAAGTCGCAGAAATTCTGAATTGTGGCGTATGTGGGGTTCACGCTGGAATCAAAAGTGAAAATGTACCGTATGTCATTCACTGCGTACACAAAAGCGAGGAGCCTTGAGCGGAGCGACCAAACACGGTCACCAGAAACCCGGATGCACAGCTTCTTGTCGCTGTCGAGTCTACCACTGCTGCAGTTCTTTCCGCCGTCGGTGACCCTATCAGCATTTGGCCCGCCAAAAGAGATGAGGGCAGATGATTTACCCTGGTCTGTGAGCCAGAAGATGCCGCGCAACTGCTCGGGCAACGGCGAAGCGCCCACAATTAACGGCACCTCTGCGTCGAGCTCGGCAAGACTGATGGACCTCAAGGGCGCCATTCCCTCGAACGGGTGCTTGTATTGTGGGTCGCCTGGGGAGCCCGCTATCAGGCCAGCCACCAACCATATCGCAATGATAACAAAAGGCGCACAGGCCAGAGCCACGCAGCAACAGCCGGCACACTTCAGAGCGCGGGAGTGCCGCCGGAAGCACGTCTCCTCCGCCTCGTCCTCTCGAGGCCTCCCAGATGGGGTCGGAGCAGGTGGGGTCGGAGGATCGCGCTGCATCGCCGATGCATCGGCGACGTCGGCGCGAAGAAAATCGGCTCCGCACCGGCGATCAAATGGCGCTGCGGTGCGAGCCTCCGACCCCGTCCGCTCCGACCCCGTCCGGGAGGCCTCGACTCGACTGCACGCAAAGAGCGACCTTGGGTAAAGGAGACCTCCTGTGCGCGGCTTCCTGGGGCCGCGGGGGGACCGAGCACAAGCGCGCAAGACACCAAGACCGCATCGCGTCCTGCGATCGGGGGGCCCCGATGGGCCCGCACCGCAGGCCACGCCGGCGAAAGGTCGCTCTCACGTGCAGTCTGATGTTGCTCCCATCGCACTAAAGGGCCACATCACAAAAACAATTCCGAGCACCCAGAAGAAAAGTATCGACGCATTGTCGAACGAGTGTCGCCTCCCAGGGCCAGACACGCCAAAGCGCGAAAATGTCGGTACGTTCCTGGTGCTCCGAATCCTTCCTGGTGCTCGAGGCTAGAAGTAGGTTGGAACCTCACCATAAGTGCAGCCGATGGATCCTCCTCGGCCCCGCTGGAGGCATTCAGGACGAACGGCGTGTAGGCCCGCGAGATCGGCATGCCCGCCCTCGCGGCGCGCGCCTCCGGCGGCGCCCCCCGCCGCGAGAGGACGCGCGCCGCGGCGACGCCCCGCCCGGGGAGCGGGCCCCCGCCGAGCCGCGCCCCCTTGGGGGGGGGGGCGGGCGGGCGCCGGGCGGGCCGCGGAGCCCCGCGCGCCGCCTCGCCCCAGCTTCCCTCGCCGAGCTTGGGCTGGCGCCGCGCGCCTCCTCCTCCCCCTCCTCCCCCTCCTCCTCCTCCTCCTCCTCCTCCTCCTCTCCTCCTCCTCCTCCTCCTCCTCCCTCTCCCTTACCCTCCCCCTCCTCCTCCTCCTCCTTCTCCTCCTCCTCCTCCTCCTCCTCCTCCTCCTCCTCCTCGACCACAAGAGGCCTTCCACAAGAAACCCAGCCCTGAGACCCCAGGACGTGCATGGACTCTTGGGGCTGGAACGTCGCGCTCTCCATAGCAGGACCATGGACATCGAAACCCAAGAAACCCATGGAACCCTGGAGGCAGGCAGGGTGTTTCTTGGCACGGGTCTCCACTGTATGCGGGAGGGAAGAAAAAGGCTTCTTGGCTCCCCTGTGCGCGCCGCCAGATCGGGGCCCCAAAAACGTGTGGTGACGCTCCGCGCGGTGACCTCGGAGTCCCCCGACGACCTTACCGCGCGGTAAGTCACCGCGCGTTTTTGGAACATCGCAAGCCCTGGCCGCCTGAGATGTCCTCGGAGAACGACCCTGGTGCCGAAACCGTGCGGCGACCCCGAACCCGCACCGACTCACCACGCGGTGTGGTTCTCGCCGTCTGGCTTTCGGAACGATTCCTCTTGCACCCCCGGAGCGCCCTCGACGAGGCGCAGCTGCGCAGCTGCTGGGACCCATCCCACGGCTCGAAGACCTCGAACTCTTGAACACGTAAAAGATCCAGACGAACACGCCCAGACCCCCTCGAAGATTCCCCACCGGCTCACCGCGCGGCGTGGTCATACCACACCGGCTGGGGGGGCCCCCGGTTGGCCCCGGCGCCCGCGAGGCCAGGACGAGGCCAGCGGCGGGGGCGAGGGCTCGAACCGCAGGTGGGGGGGCTTTGGGCCGAAGTGGCGGCGGGACCTCCACCAATTCATGCTCGTGGCATCCTGGCCATCGCTCGGACGTCCATTTCCTGTGCTTTTTTTTCGGTTTCGTGCGTGGTTTGTTTCGCGAAATGATCACGGATGCTCCTCGATGGTCCTCGCCGAAGGAAAAATGCACACGTCCGAGCGATGCCAAGCATCTGCTCTCGTGTCAGGGGCGAGAGGGGATCAAAGTGAAGATCAGAGTGAGGGGGTCGAGCGGTCACTCGCTGTCCCTGGGTGCGTGCGTGGCTGAAGCGGGGCTCCGCGGTGTGGATTGCTGTTGCGCTGTTGTTACAAGTGTTGTTGTTGGTGTTGCTGGTTGTTGGAATTATTGTTGCTGCTGCTGTTGCTGTAACTGTTGTTGTTGTCGTTGTTGGTGTTGCTGCTGTTGCTGTTGAACTCTCGCTACTGAACAATATTTCTTGTTGACCACCCTTTTGGTGACCATTGTGCTTTTTCAATTGCAGTGCTTCCCCTGGGGCTCACACCCTGTTCTGCATCAGGGAAGGTCACTCGGCTCAAACTGTGTTGTTGTGGTCCCCGGATTACAACAACACCCGGCCCCCGCCTGAGACTTCCTCACAATGTAGCCAGGACCCCCGCTCCCGCCTGAGACTTCCTCGCGTTTAACTCAGGAGTCGCGCTCTCGCTTGGGACCGCATTTGAATAGATTCAGGAATCGCTGCTTCGGCGCTCTACGGTCGCGCTCTCGCTGGAGACTTGCTTGCCATTTGCTTAAGGATCGCGCTCTTGCGTTGGAATTCCCCACGATGTACTCAAGCGCCGCGCTCCCGACACTCAGGAACCCAGGCGTCTTGCTCACGCTCAAGACTCCCTCGCAGCTTGCTTAGGACTCGGGATCTCGCTGCCCTTCGTGGCCACGTTGCAGCCCTTCGTGGCCCCCTCGCTGCCCTGTGTGGACCCATTGCAGCCCTTCGTGGCCCCCTCGCTGCCCTTCGTGGCAACGTTGCAACCCTTCGTGGCCCCCTCGCTGCCCTTCGTGGCAACGTTGCAACCTTTCGTAGCCCCCTCGCTGCCCTTCGTGGTCCCGGCGCAGCCCCCCGCGCTGCCCTTCGTGGCCCGGTGTCCGTCGGTGTCCCGTCGGTGTGCCATCGGTGTCCCGTGGATGTCCTGTCTGTGTCCCGTTGGTGTCTCGCCGTCGCTGTCCTGTCGGTGTCCCGTTGGTGTGTTCTGTCGGCGTCCTGTAATGAAACCGATTTGGAGGTCGATAGGGAGAGCGGTAGTGAGATCGATAATGAGATCGATTGAGAGATCAATCAGGTGAGACGCTAGTTCCGTCCCAGCTCCCACACAACCTCCCTATCACCCGAAGAGTAGTCGTACTCGTACACGCATATATTCAGCCATACGCAACCATGCGTACATACATGCATACGTGCATGCATAAATACATACACACATACATACATACATACATACATACATACATACATACATACATACATACATACACATACCTGCCAACCTACCTACCTACATACACACATGCATGTATGAGCATACGTAAATACATAAAGGCATGCATACACAAATCCATCCCTCCATCAATCCAGCCAACCATCCATCCATCCACCCACCCACCGATCCATCCATACATACACACGTTCAGACTTACATACTTACACACATATATGCAAGCATGCATACATAACTGCATGCATGCATGCATGCATACATACATACATGCATGTGTTTATTCATCCAGTCAAACATACATGCACACACATACGTGCACACATATGATTTTATGTGTGCGCATATATTTATATGTATATAACATACATACATACATACATACATACATACATACATACGTACGTACGTACGTACGTACGCACGCACGCACGCACGCACGTACATACATACATACATACATACATACATACATACATACATACATACATACATACATACATACATACATACATACATACATACATACATACATACATGCATACATACATACATACATACATACATACATACATACATACATACATACATACATACATACATACATACATACATACATATATATATATATATATATATATCGGAGGTTGGGGGGGTGAGATCGCAGTGAAACGAAAACCCCCCACTGGGAAATCGGTTTCGGTTTCGTGTTCGTGTCGCGCGTGCGGGCGATGCGAAGCTGCGCATGCTCCTCCTGTAGCTAGGCCGAAGTAAGAGCGAAAGTCCGTTGCCCAGCAGCCGGTGGCTGGGACTGCGCCCGCGGTGTCCCGACGGTGTCCCGTGGTGTCCCGTGGTGTCCCGTCCGCCGGTGGCTGGGACTGGGCCCTCGGTGTCCCGGCGGTGTCCCGTGGTGTCCCGTGGTGTCCCGTGATGTCCCGTTGGGTGAGATCGATTGCGAGATCGATAGTGAGATCGATACTGAGATCGATGTGGTGCCCCGAGGTGTCCCGTGGTGTCCCGTTGAGTGAGATCGATTGTGAGATCGATAGTGAGATCGACAGGTGTCCCGTGGTGTTCGGTGGTGTCCCGTTGAGTGAGATCGATAGTGAGATCGATACTGAGATCGATGTGGTGCCCCGAGGTGTCCCGTTGTGTCCCGTGGTGTCCCGCTGAGTGAGATCGATAATGAGATCGATAGTGAGATCGACAGGTGTCCCGAGGTGTTCCATGGTGTCCCGTTGAGTGAGATCGATAGTGAGATCGATCGTGAGATCGATAGTGAGATCGATGTGGTGTCCCGCGGAGTCCCGTGGTGTCCCGTGGTGGCCCGCGGTGTCCGGTGGTGTCCCGTTGAGTGAGATCGATAGTGAGATCGATAGTGAGATCGACAAGTGTCCCGTGGTGTCCCGTTGAGTGAGATCGATAGTGAGATCGATCGAGTCAGATGTTGGTTCCCCCCCTCTCCCCCCCCCACGACCTCCTTATCACCCGAAGGGTGGTCGTATAGGTTTATGTATATATATATATATATATATCGGAGGTGAGAGGGTGAGATCGCAATGAAGCGGAGAGCCCCCCACCGAAAATCGGTTCCGGTTTCGTGTTCGTGTCCTGCGCGCGGGCGAGGCGAAGCTGCCTGGGCGGGCGAGAAGAGTGAACCCTGCACTGGCCAGGGCGCAGCCGGGCCCAAAGACCGCCCCTCCCCGCGGGTTGGCCGGCGGTGGCCAGGGGTGTCCCAAGGGTGCTCCTCGGGTGTCCCGTCGCTGACCAGTAGTGAGGCGTCGATCGTGGGATCGATCGTGGGATGGATGGTGCTCCTCCCCTTCTCCTTCCTCATCCTCTTCCTCCTCCTCCTCCTTCTCCCCCTCCTCCTGATTCCTGATTCCCGATGGCCTGAGAGTTCGTTGTGCAACGGCGACAAGAGAGCAGAACCAGAAGGAAGACGAAGAACAAGGGCGAGGATGTAGATAATGGTGGGTGGGGCTAGGTGGGGTGCGCGACCCTATGCATGTGTGTAAGCATGAGTGCATGTACGTACGTACATACACGCATCTCGGTGGCGGACTCCGGAAACCCTGAACCCAAAAATGTTTTCATCTCTTGGGGGCACATGTATATCACTTCCGCCACCTTGCGCCAGCCTTCCGTCTTCTTCCGCCGGCGGAGGCGGCCTCGTTCAACTTCCGCCGCCCTTCCGCCGCGACAACTCTTTCTGCCTTCGAAGGCAAGGCCCTTTGTGGAACGCCCCATGTGTAGGTATACTAACCAAACAAGAAGCACAATCACACACAAAAGTAAAGAGAGAGCCCCAGAACGGCTCCTTCGCCCGCCTCGGCGTGTCCTGGGCGACCCGATGCATGTGTGATAATTTCTGTTCGCAGTGAGTTGTCCAATCCACTGCTCGCGCAAACATCCCACCCACCCACCCGCAACTTGGTTTGCAAAACCTCTTAAGACCGTGACGGTGGGTACCAAATGGCACTTGGCAACCACACCGACGCCGACGACGACAGCGACAACGACGACGACGACGACGACGCCGCCGACAACGACTACGACGACACCGACGACGTCTCCAACGACTTCGACGACGCCGACGA